TGAGGGTTAGAACTGGAGGAATCAAGGAATATAGTTTGTCCGATCACTTTCCGTGGAAGTAGTGATAGAGCAGTGAGGGGCTCACCACATCCCGCCTCTGTGTGTGTGCGTGTGTGTGCGTGTGTGTGTGTGTGTGTGTGTGTGTGTGAGAGAGAGAGAGAGAGAGAGAGAGAGAGAGAGGTTGGAGAGTGGAACATATTTCATCACCCACAAGGACTCGGAGACGCTTTTGATATCTATCAAGTCTAGAAACAGAAGGACAAATATAAAAAAGATGATTCCATTTTCGGCCTGATCTGGCTCTTATAAATGTAGAGGGTAGCATGAGGAGTCAGGTACTTACTGGAGCGGTACAGGGAACTGATCATTTTATCCCGCATCTTTAGGGATGGATCATGAATAAGGTGCGAGTTTGGAGCCCAATATTCTCTCCAGAAACCGAACCTCCACGAGGGGGGGGCATCCATTCATTGGAGGATCTCTTTTTATCTCGAACGCTCACGACCGTATGCTATATGTATACTCCAGACAGCCATTTCTCTCTCTCTCTCTCTCTCTCGCACACACACACTCACATATTTATAGAATGCGATGGATAAATTGTCGTCTAAATGACGCAAAAATGAAACTAACACTGGCATCTCATTTTAACAGATATATTTACCAAAATTACACAAAAATATCTTGAAATACTAAAGAGTAAATTTATTCAATAAAATCACCATTGACTTCAACCATGGCCTCCAGGCGACTTTGAAATTTCCTGCAACTCTTCTGGACGGTCTCCTTGTTTAAGATGGTGAATGCTGCCATAATCCTTGCCTTCAGTTCATCTTTGGAGTTACAAGGAGTTTTGTTGGTCTCTCAATCAAACTCCCCCCCACACACATAATAATCAAGGAGATTGCAGTATGAGGTGTTAGGAGACCAGATGTAAGGGGTGATATGGTTGCTGAAATTGTCTAGCAGCCATGACTGGATTCTCCTGCTTATGTGGCATGGTGCAGAGTCCTGTTGCCAGACATAGGGTCTTCCAGCAGCCACCCTCTTGACCCAGAAAAGCACTACCTCCTCAAGGCACTTGATGTATGCCTTTGTGTTGAGTCTGAGGCCCTCACCAACAAATTCAGAAGTTCTTTTCTTAGAATGATCAGGGTGAGTTTTTCAAGCTGCCATGCATTTCGTAATCACTATTAGACTCATCCAACTCTTTCCGAATTTTCTGCACTGTCTAGATATTGTCACCTAAACACTCTGATATGTTCGTATTAGAGATTCCAGTGCGAATGCCAAACAGTACAGATGTTATTCTTCTCACAGAAAGTAAAAACAAACAATGCGCATGCGCGAAATTAAAAATACAAAATGGTGACAATTTACCCACCGCACACTGTATATGTATACTTAAATAGTAAGACTAAAAGCTGAAACTCTGAGTAGCGGATTTGGTATTACATATACAGTATATATATATATATATATATATATATATATATATATATATATATATATATATACACTGACGGGAAATAAATATTCGTACACAGACAACATTTTAATTTATTGTATTTCAAACTAATGAATATACCTACTTTTCATATAATTAACAATACACTGATGCATAATAACTAAATATACCTAGAAAACAGAAAAAAGGTTTTGATTTAATAGAAATAAATGCCATTTATCCATTTTAATGGGTGAAAAAGTATTTATACAATGCCAATTTCAGATTTAAATTGCTTTAATACTCTAGATTATTCAAGTTGAATATTCTAGAATGTTTTAATAATGTTATCAGTAATTTTTAGCCTAAAATACAAACAGAACATTCTGTAATCGATATTCGCGCAAGAAGGTTATCATCATGGCATAAAGAGGTAAAGAATTGAAAATTCGCAAAAGAACTGATTGTTAAGCTCTGGAAAGAGGGTAAAAGTTACAGAAAAATCTCTGACAACCTGAATATTCTATTTTCTAGCATTAGTTTATTCATTGCAAAATATAAAATACTTAAAACTGTTGCAAACCAAAGACGAAATTGTGCTCCACGGAAGATTTCTTCAAGATCTTGGAGGAAATTAATGCGTCAAATTAAACAAAATCCAATGGTTTCTCGTTAAGAGGCACAGGATGATTTGCTTTCATCAGGAATCTGTGTCACCAAACGGGCAATAAGCAATGTAATTCATAGGAACAATCTAAAGTCACGCTCCTCTCGGAAAATTCCATTGCTATTGAAAAGACACAGAGATGCCAGGTTGAAATTCGTTCGTGAACATAAGGATAAGGAAAAATCATATTAGTAAAGACTATTAAGGACAGACGAAACCAAAACTGAGTTGTATGGACGTAATTTTAGAAATCGTGTATGGAGGAAACAAAAAAACACAGTTCCAACAGTGAAATTTGGTGGTGGCAGCATCATGGTTTGGGGATGTTTTTCTGCAAAAGGTGCTGGCAGCATATCGATAATAGATGGTAGAATGACTGCCGCAGCATATCAAAATATTTTTGAAGCAAATTTAATGATTTCGTTTGAAAATGTTGAACTTCCTCCTGATTGGATCTTTCAAAAAGATAATGATCTTAAGTACACTGTAGAATCTACGAAGAAATGACTTGCTGAAAATAATGTAAATATCCTGAAATGGCCAAGTCAGTCCCCAGATTTAAACCCAATCGATAATCTGTGGCGTTATTTGAAAATTCATATCCAATCGAGAGCTCCAACAAACATTCCTGATCCGAAGACCATATGTGAAGAAGAATGAAACAAAATACCAACTAAAATTGGCAAATCATTAATTGAGAACTACAAGAAGAGGTTGGTTGCTGTAGAAGTGAATAAATGGCTATTCTAAAAAGAATTAAATGAAGACTATGTTTTCTTTTGTATTGAACGAATACATTTTTCACCCATTAAAATGGATAAATGAATTTATTTCTGTTAAATCATTTTTTGTTTTCTATGAATATTTAGTTTTTATGCATCCGTGTACAGTTAATTATATGAAAAGTATGTTTATTCATTAGTTGGAAATACAATAAAATAAAATTTCTATGTGTATGAATATTTGTTTCCCTCTTCTGTAAAGAAGAAGTCGAAAATTGTCCATTTAGAGAGTAATCACCCATTTTTCTACAGCTGTAGGGGATGTTTTATTTGTTCGTTTACCTTTAACAATTTTTGGTTGTGGCCCTTAATAACACGCTCCATGTGGGACATTGGGCTGTAAGACATTTTGGTTTTTACGTGTAAATCTGTTCTTGGATTCCTAAAATTGGATTAATATTTCCAGATTTCTCGAAGTAGGGGGTTGCTAGTGTGAATTTTGTTGAAATTTCCCGTTTGTCTTGCAAGGTGAAGAATATACTGCGATGAAAACACATTAGAAAAATGAAAGAAAACGGTGAAAATATAATGAAAATGTAGAAACGAGGAAGAAAACGACAAAATTTCATACGAAGATGAAGAACATTTACAGAAATATGAAGATGTAATAAAAAACAAAGAAATCTTTAAAACGGCAATGAAAACGTAAAAAATTATAAAAAGATGAAAACGTAATAAAAAGTTGAAAGCTTAATAAGAAAAATGAAAAGTTAATAAAAAGAAATCGTAATAAAAAGATGAAAACCAACAAGAAAGATGAAAGTGTAATAAAAAGAAGAAAACGTAATAAAAAGAAGAAATCGTAATAAAAAGAAGAAAACATAAGATGAAAACGTAATAAGAAGCAGAAAACGTAATAAGAAAGATAAAAACGTAATAAAAAGGTGAAAACGTAACAAGAAAGATGAAAGCCTAATAAAAAGAAGAAAAAGTAATAAAAAAATCGTAATAAAAAGAAGAAAACATAATAAGAATGTTGAAAACCTAATAAAAAGATGAACACATAAAAAAAGATGAAAACGTAATAAAAAATGCAGAAAACTTTCATAATGACAAAAAAGTAAATGATTCATAAAAAGACGAAGACATTTTGAAGAATCCATCTAAGAAGATTATGAAAACGTTAAATATTTAGAAAAAAGACGAGGGTAATGTAAAAAAACAACTGACGAAAGCATTATAAAAAATAGCAAAAAAAAGGAAAAATGGAGGAAATAAAAAAAATAAACAGGCTCATCAAAATAATAAAAATGTGATATGATAGTCTTTCATCGCGCAGAGTTTTAAATCAAGAGAGTTTAACGTTGAAGAAAAAGGCAAATAATTATTTAGTCTGAAAGTTTTGAAAGAAATAGAAAAAAATATTATGCTATTATAAAGATTCATTTAAACTCACAAAAGCGTTAATAATGAAAACAGTTCTATTGAGGATTGAAAAACACAAAAATGACAAAAGTTAGAATTATATGATTAATATTGATTTCTTATATACAAATGGATAATTGATAAAATGAGGCTGAAAAACAAATGTAGAAACTACAAAATTAGCCATTTGATGATAATAATGTAATAATGATAATAATAATAACGATAATATTAATCAGAAGAAGATGAAGAAGAAGAAAAAAGAATATAATTTAACCGAATTCGTTTTTCAAATGGGAAAGAGAGGAGAGCGATTTTTTCCGCGGTTTCTTTTTATAACTGAAAATATAATCTTTGTTTAAAAATCACTTTTGAAAAATGAAATTTTAATTTTTCCTGAAAACGTGACGTAGACTCTCTCGTATTTTTTGTTGACAAAATTTCTTCTTTTTCTTAAAGAAAGGCAACTCCACCCACCAAAAAGTCTTTTTTTTATATCATCGATACGACTAAATGTCAGCTTTATTTATTTATCTGAATGATAAAGAAAAAAAAAAAAATAAAAAAAGAATTGGGAAAAAAATTATGGGAAAGACAGAGATTGATGAAAAAGATTTTGTACAAAGTGCGCGCGTTTATGTGTAAAGGGGGAGAGAGTTGGAGAAAACAGAGAGCTGAATTCTGAGAGAGAGAGAGAGAGAGAGAGAGAGAGAGAGAGAGAGAGAGATCTCTATCTCAGTCTTTCCGTATCTATCTATCTATCTATCTATCTATCTATCTATCTATCTATCTATCTATCTCAGTCTTTTCTATCTATCTATCTATCTATCTATCTATCTATCTATCTATCTCAGTCTTTTCGTATCTATCTATCTATCTATCTATCTCAGTCTTTTTCATCTATCTATCTATCTATCTATCTATCTATCTATCTATCTATCTATCTCAGTCTTTTCGTATCTATCTATCTATCTATCTATCTATCTATCTCATCTTTTCTATCTATCTATCTATCTATCTATCTCATCTATCTATCTATCTATCTATCTATCTATCTATCTCATCTTTTCGTATCTATCTATCTATCTATCTCATCTATCTATCTATCTATCTATCTATCTATCTCAGTCTTTTCGTATCTATCTATCTATCTATCTATCTATCTATCTATCTATCTATCTATCTATCTATCTAGTCTAAGTCTACGGCCACATCACGTTGAAACACGTTTTCCGTACTAGCACCGAAGTTATGCAACATTGATCCTGGTCAGTACTCTAGATGGGTCGACCTCTTGGGAATACCAGGCGATGTAAGCTTCTATGTGAGGTGGGTGTGTGTAATTAATCACAATAAACTACTGCAGTGTATATTACATCATAATATAACTGAATTGTTCAGAATAATTTCCCTTTGAATAAATGAAAGTCTTATTGATGGCACAATGATTTTTAGTAATAATATGCTTATGCCATGAATCTTGTTCATATACAATTTGTAAAGCTTCAGTCAATTATACATTTTATGAGGCTGTTCTATGAGGTTTTTGCTGATTACAGGAATGAAATTCCAATGCTATGGTTTTGAACCTAAAATTAATCTTTAAAATGGTTTCCTCAAAAACTATTTGTTTTAGAAAATTGCATTCAATTTAAAAGCTGGGGTTTGATGTGATAAGTACTGACACCAATAATTAGATTCATAGCTTTCATCAATTTTTGAGTATTTAGTTTTAAAGATCATATGAAAAAAAATGTACAGAAATACTTAATTTCTGCAGGTTTTTGCTTATATATCGACTTCAAAATTTGATTATTTCAAGAATAAATCCAAATAAATTTGAATTGAAAAGATATTCAAATCAGAATTCTAATTAGGAATCTCCACCAGCAAAATATGCAGATTTTTACTGTCTTCGGACAATGTAAAAACATTGTAAAAGATTACAAAATGGCGAAGGGTAAGAGTAAAAAATTCAATGAATAAGATTTGTTAGAACATTTATTACATCAAAATTAATAAAAATAAAATTTAGATAAAATTTATATAACGCCGTAATACTGCTGGGCACAAATTATAAAACAAAATGTTTTAAATTTGCATTGTTTATTGAAAATCACACTAAAACTACTGCACTGTATAACATATTACATTATAATATAACTAAATTGTTCAGTATAATTTCCCATTTAAAGTAAATGAAGGTATTATTTGATGGCAAAATGATTTATTAATAATCTTACGTCCATATACAATTAGTAAAGCTTCAGTAAATTATAAATTTTACAAGGCTATGAGGCATTCACTAATCACCAGAATGAAATTCCAACGCTATGATTTTGAATCAAAAAGCAAAATTTAATTTTTAGTTTCCTCAAAAAACGGTAACGATTTGCAAAAAAATATTTTGTGTCATTATTTATTCTCAACTTTCAAATTGAGTGCAATACCACGGTTCTAAAATAATGTTCTATTCTATATGGCAGGGAATACTTGATAATTTCCTCGCAGATGAAGAGAGAATTAGAGGTAACAGTGATGTGGTTCTACAAAAGGAAGCTGTGAATACAACTGGCGGGTCATGTAGGCAACTAGGAATTTTAAAGGTAAATGGAAACATAAAGGCAACTTATACTTAGAATCAGAGATTGACAGACGAGTTTTCTAGGACGCCTGATAAGGAAAGAGGACTTGGAGAATTTGACACTCTTAGGGCATATTGAAGGCAGGGGGCAGACAGAACAGCACTTAAACTACCTAGCTTGAGTAAATCGATTGTAGAAAAAAGGAGTGAGAGAAATAGTAAAAAAGATTGCAAAGAGTTAGAAAGAATAGGAAGTTGTGGAGAGCCATGATATTCCACGTCCCGAAGAGACTCAGCACAGAGAAGATAAGAGCTTTAAATAAATAGATCATCTGAAACCTTAGATCTTCGCAAGAAATAAGTCTATGTTAGCCATTGTATGGATAGTCTGCGATTCATATAAGGAAAATTTGCCACACATCGATTTCTATGGATTTGACAGATTGACAAAGGTTTATTTTAGGAAGATAAGTAAATCGACGTTAATCCAACAGAAATTAATGACATAAATAACTGTTCTGCCTATATCTCTGAGATGAGGGATTATGATTACTGGCATTATTTACATTATTCGGACTGTGATCCTCATCTTCATTGACATATTCACAATGTTTCGGCCTCTATATCCCTGAGACGAGGTATTATGATTACTTGCATTATTTACATTATACAGACTGTTATCCTCATCTTCATTGTCATATTCACAACATTTCGGACTCTATATCTCTGAGATGAGGTATTATGATTACTTGCATTATTTACATTATTCGGACTGTTATTCTCATCTTCATTGATATATTCACAACGTTTCGGCCTCTATATCTCTGAGATGAGGTATTATGATTACTTGCATTATTTACATTATTCAGGTGGGTATCATCATCTTCATTACCATATTCACAATGTTTCGGCCGTTTTACGCTCTAGCCTTCTTCAGGTGAAAGAAATTCAATATATGCTCTGTTAAAAATGCAATAATAATAACAAAAATTGCAATATGAACACTGGTAAAAAAAAAGGTTGCTGAGACATTAGGTTTATAAGTTTCAGAAATTCATACCCAGATGTCCTCAAGGACACATGCCCCAGTGAATAAAGACGTTGGTTAGATCCAGTGTTTCAAAACTTGAAGAGTTGAATTAAAGGGAAATAACTGAGACATTCGGAAGAGACATGGCATGTGGAACTAGAACAATCTACTCCGGTGGACGAAATAAAGGGTTCGTCGAAATTCCAATCACCTGAAAAAAGACGGAGCATACAACGGCTGAAACGTTGTGAATATGGCAATAAAGATGAGGATAACACCCCGAATAATGTAAATAATGCAAGTAATACTTAACTTTATTATCCTTTGGAATTAATCCTCTTCGCTTGGTTGGTAACTAGATGAATGACCGCTTTGGAATACCAGGTGCTGTAAGCTTGGATATGCGGGTGGTGAAATGAATAACGGCATAGAATCGGAAATCGGTGATCTGAGTTCTAATTCCAGTCAGGTTCGTTATATCCATTTACGTGCAAATATTCTTGGGAAAGGTGTGGATCTACTTCTTCCCCTCCCTCATCTATGATTCAATTAGCATGATTTGTATCAGTAAATTAGTATTATCTCCAAAAAATTCTTACAAACTAAAATATTTTCTGGCTTTAAATAACCTGCAAAAGTTTGATAGGCCGTAAAAAAAAAAAATCAGTCAATTCGTTTTCAGATCCGTTTGACTTTCTAATTCCTCTCCATCTATAGCCTCGTTTCTGTTTTAAAATGTCCTCCATTGAATACCCGTTCCAATTCCCTACCCGGCTAGCTTTTCTCTTCTTTTTCCGGTTGTAGCTGAACATGTGAACAAAAAACGAAGCTGTAAGGAAAATGGAAACGAAAAGGACACTTATACATAGAATTAGTAAAAGACAGTTGAAAATTCTAGGGCCCATAATGAGGAAAGTCGGCTCAGAAAAAACCAAAAGGATATATTGAAGGCAAGAGGAATACAACGAATGGACTGGTATAAATAGAACAGGGATTAGGAAAGATAGCAAAAAGACTTTACTAAGAGCTAGAAAGGACAGAAAATTATACAGAACCATGATTGCCCACACCCTGAAGGGACACGGCACATAGAAGATGGTGTATTCTCCTCTGCTTTCTTCTAGACACACCCGACTTATCATCTTCTGCACTTTTTTTAAAGTTCGCTTCTTGAATTTGTTTCTCGTCTTTTAGGTTTTTGTCTTAAAATAATTTTATGTCCTCTTTGTCGTCTGCTACCTCGGAAACGTTCCAGTCTTTTCGTATTCTTCCCTTCAATACCTTACTTTCCCCCTCCCAATTTCTTTCTTTCTTTCTTTCTTTCTTTCTTTCTTTCAATAATATATATTCGCCTATCAATTTCTTCTTTCTTTCTTTCTTTCTTTCTTTCAATACTATACATTCGCCTATCAATTTCTTTCTTTCTTTCTTTCAATAATATATATTCGCCTATCAATTTCTTCTTTCTTTCCTTCCTTCTTTCTTTCTTTCAATACTATACATTCACCTATCAATTTCTTTCTTTCTTTCTTTCTTTTGCAGTCCTCTTTCGCCTCTTTTCGATATCTCTCTTTCGTCATATGATAACTTCTTGCGCTTTTTCCTTCTTCATCTCTTTTTCAATTTTCCAATTATTCTGATCAATATTTCGCTATTTCTTTTTCTTTCTTTTCTTTTCTTTTCTTTCTTTGCTTTCTTTCTTTCTTTCAATAAAAACCTCTTTCGTGTGCTGTTCAGATTATAGAAAAGAAGAAGAAAATTACCCTGAAAAAAAATCGTAATAAAATAACAGGCAGGTAATGCAAGATGGCGGCCAGTCCCTTACTTTGCTCTCTCGTACTGAGTGGTTGTGCTTTCTGATGTCCTGTAGTCGCCGATCAAGTACACCGGATAAAGAAGCTGCAGTCTGACTTGTCTTTTTCTTTAATCCGCCCTTCACAGGGCGCATGCGTCGCAGCCAGAGACATATTCGATCCACGACGTCTTTCGCTCTCTTCACCTACAACGACAGTCACGTGACCCGGTTGCTGCAATTCGACTTTTGAGTGAATCCATTTAGCGTTTCTTTTTTTTTTAAACACTTTTTTTTTTTGCTTCCCCGTTGGGTTTTATTTTGATCTTTTTTTTCAGTGTTTTCATTGAAGAAACTCAAAAGATCTTTTTTTCCTTTTTCGCTTTCTTTCTTTTTCTTCTTTCTTTTGAATTATTTCTTCCTTTTTTTTCTTCTAAGCTTTTTCTTCTGAATTCTTTTTTTCTTTTATTCCTTCTTTTTTCTTCTGAAATTTTCATTCTTTTATTCTTTCTTTCTTTTATCTTCCTTCCTTCCTTCCTTCCTTCCTATTTCGTTATCTTATTTCTACTTTTTGTGAATAATTTTTTATTTTTTGTTATTTCTTATATCTGAATTTCTTTCTTTCTTTCTTTCTTTCTTTCTTTCTTTCTTTCTTTCTTTCTTGCTTGCTTGCTTGCTTTCTTTCTTGCTTTCTTTCTTTCTCAGTCTGTTCATATCTATCTATCTATCTATCTATCTATCTATCTATCTATCTATCTATCTATCTATCTATCTATCTATCTATGTGAAAGTGTGTGGTTTCGATGACTTTCTTTGAACGCTGATATCCTTCTCAGAGACTCTCTCTCTTTCCCCTGTCGGTGGGGCATTTTATATATTTCCTGTTATTCTATTATTTCCATTTGCTACCCCCCCCAATCGCAATTTCAATCGATCACCTGTTTACTTGTCGGAGGAAACCACTACCATTGTGTGAGGTCCGACTGTGCACCTGCTGGCAAAGTGGAGGGCGGGAATGTGGAGACAAGATTGATTAATGCCTTTCCAATAGGTATTAGTGCGAAAATGAATGCAAGAGACTAAGCCGGGATTTGAACTCGGCATGCCGATCCCATTTTCAGCACCGGTAAGCCGTCACGCTACCCGCACATGCTTTAAGACACATTATCACTATCAACGCAATTTTGAACGTGAAACATTCACCATTCTCTTTATCGAGTGTCAGTGACAAAAACCTAGGTAAGATGACTAACGAGGGTGGGAACGATTCCAGGGATGTTGAACTCATGCCTTTTCAAAGGTGAAACAGGCTCACCTAGAATTTGAACAAGGTTTCTCGATTTTGTTTACCGGGTCGAAAGACTTCATGTCCCTTCAGGGCTTAGGCAATCATGGCTCTCCACAGCTTCCGTATCATTATTATCTGTAAATAGCTATGGCTTCTTGGAAAATATAATGGAATCGTTGCCGGTTGTCTTTTTTGAATTTAGAATAGACTTTCTACTCAACTGTCTGCCATCTAAGACTAAATCATCCGGTCTACCCACTGTTTAATCCATAGCTTGGAGTCGGGTAGAAGAGATGGATTCATGCCTTTTTGGCGTAAGACGACATCACGTTGAAACACCAGTTTCTCTATGATCACCGAAGTTAAACAACGTCGAACCTGGTCAGAACTTAGATGGGTGACCACTTAGGAATATCAGTTGCTGTAAGTTTGGATGTGCGGGTGGTGTAATGGATAATGACTCAGAATTGTTAATCGGAGAGCCGAGTTCCAATTCCGGTTGGGTTCGTTATATTCACTTACACTCAAATACCCTTGGGAAAGGTTTGAATCTCCCCCATCTATGGGTTAATTAATAAGACTTGAATCAGTAAACCATTATTATCTCAAAAAATTCCGATAATCTAAAAAAAAAATTTTTTTTAGCTTTAAATAACCTGCAAAGGGTTGATAAGCCGTAAAAAACGAATCAATCTATCAATCTTAATTCCAAACTCTATCCAGCATAACTGCTTCTGTTCAGAAAAAGAATGAAACAAAAATTACTTACAAAATGTTTAGATTTCGGCATTAAATTACCCACAGAGATGTTGATATGTCGCTAAACGAGAACATCCAACCAACAAATAATGTCTTTCCCGAGGGCATTAGTGCGTTAATGAACGGACAAGCTAGGATTTGAACTCAGATCGCCGATTTCACTTTTTTTAATGCTGATAGCCGTTACTCTACCAACACATATACGAAACAAAAAAAATCCAACGTAATAAAAATATACGCGAACTTCTGGATATGTAGCGTTAAATATGTTTCTTTTTTTTTGTTTTGTTTCTTTTTCCAGAAGAAGCCCTCCCCAGCTACCACTAAATAAGAAGATAGGTCCAGATAAAGAAGCAAAAAGGGAATCCTTCAACAAAACACTGCTCGCCATCGCAAACAAAAATGCGCGGATTCTTATTTCTCTTGCCTAAATTTTTCCTCCTCTCCTCTCCGCCCATACAACTCAACTTTCCCTTCCCCGCCATCATTTTTCCCAAAGATAATTCATGTTCCTCTCTTACCTGCAGGTAATTCACAAAGTACTCCCATCCCCAATCACCCGCTACCTTACCGCTATTTGTTCAATTCTTCGGGGGTTGGAAGGAAACAATCGTAGATTCTCCGAAGCGAAAGCCAGGGCGATTACAGGAAGTATTACGGCTTTGAGTTTATTCGAAAACGACGTTGTCTGCTTTAAGAAAACAATGGCGGTTTCGGGATCGTTGCAAGTTTTCTAGTAATGGCTGCACGAGTCGTTTCTAAAAAGGCTGACACACTCGAAGTCGTTTTACGAGAGCTTTTGTTCTCACTTAACGCTTAAATATTGTCATTTTTTCCGCGGAATCTATAAACCGGCCCGCCGACGCGTAGGCCCAGCTCCCTCGAGATTGACAAGTGAATAGATAAACACATGTGGCATGTTATGGAGGTCGGTTTCTGGGCGGGAATCAAAGAACAGATGCAGCACGCGAGCAAGCTTCTGTGTCCATATAACAATGCAAATATAAATGATGTTGTGAATGGAGAAAATGATAAAGCATAAACGGTCAAGAAAATACAGGTCGACACAAAGATATTTTACTAAAGTATGGATCAAAATAATGGAAGTTGGAGACACATGCTCATTTTCTAATGATGAGAAATTGAATAGGAAGATTGTGTTGCGCCAATATTTTATCTTTAGATGGTCAGAGTGTCTCAAAAATCGAAATTCGAGATCTTTTAAGTTGAAATTCACTCATAGGATCCGACAGCAAACATACAACTAGCTTACGAAGTAACCTTCGAGCATATATATATATATATATATATATATATATAAATATATAATAAATTAACTGATTGAAAATATGATTTTTTTCGCTACACAGTAATAACCATGTTTCAAAAAATGGAAGCTAAAAACATTAAATTTAATTATATAATTAAATTAAAAACATTAATTCCGTTTCATCTTCAAGCGAATATTAGAATAACTTATCAAGTGAATATTAGAATAATGTATCAATTGAATACCTCTCTCTCTCTCTATTATATATATTATTATATATATCTCTCTCTCTCTCTCTCTCTCTATATATATATATATATATATATATATATATATATATATATATATATAAATTAACTATATAAAATATATATATATATATATATACATACATATATATATATATATATATATATATATATATATATATATATATATGTGTGTGTGTGTGTTTGTGTATTTAGGCAGCAATCCCTCTTTCATGCACATTTCATTGAAAATGATAGACAAGGTGCTTTTATTTAGTTTTTATACAATTTCTCATGAGATCTAATAATTTTTTTTTCTTTTCAGATGATAAATTATATAAAAACTGTCCGAATGTTCTTTTTATTCGAGCGCTTACGGCTATACATTTAGCCATTTTCAAGGATTAAATATTTTAACTGTTAAATAAGAAATAGTTTGTTGAATGTATGTTCTATAAAATGTTTTCATTTTTCAAAACACGGTCAAGACATTTAAAAACCAACACTTAATAATGTTAACTTTGAACATGGACAATATATATATATATATATATATATATATATATATATATATATATATATATATATATATATGTGTGTGTGTGTGTGTGTGTGTGTAATTAAAGACAAAAGGAACCTTAGCCGACACGATTCGTCCGCTGTGGGACATTTTAAAGACAAATGTAAGAATTTTATTTTTTAACAAGTATTTATATACAAGAGCATAAATGTTATTGCCTTTTCAAAAAAAAAAAAAAAATTTGATATATATATATATATATATATATATATATATATATATATATATATATATATATATATATATAATACGCTGGCTACTCATATTCGAGAATATCCATCTACTAAAGCGGCTAACCAGTCCCTATACACTCACTCAGGCACATTTGTGTTTGTTCAACACACACGGAGCTCACCTGTGGTTTATACTGCAACTATGCTGAGCAGACCTTAGTTACAGTTTCTGGGGAGAGCTTGTTGTCTAGAAAGAACAACATTCTGAACAACACCTGCACACTCAAACCCTCGGTCACAATGACATGTAACTTCGTGCTAGCAAGCTATCAGAAGGCCCCATATATATATATATATATATATATATATATATATATATATATATATATATATATATATATATATATATATATATATATATATATATATATATAAGAAAAATTCGACAAAAAACAAACAAAAAAATACGTTGGCCGGCCAGTGTATTCCTGAAGCCTGAATAAAATATGAATAATGCTAAGTAATTAAATTTAATGTCTAAAAATAATATAAGTAGAAATAGTTGTAATGGATTTTTTTTATATAACTTATAATAAAATGTGTAAAAATGTTCTCTATATATCCGATTGCTTTCTGCTAC